GTGCCCTGGATGTGCATCCCACAAATCTCCATGAACTGCTAGATGCTAGCCTATCAATATGGGCCAACGTTTCTAAATAATGCTTTCAGCACCTTGTTGAATCAATGCCACGTAGAATTAAGGCAGTTCTGAAGGCGAAAGGGGGTCAAACACCGCATTAGTATGGTGTTCCTAATAATCCTTTAGGTGAGTGTACTGTATATAGATGTGTAATTATTATGCAATAAATAAAAACAGCAATTAATAAATAAGAAAGTTGCAAATTAGTAATTTGTAAAAAGCAACTAAAATCAACTGCATTGAATATGTTTGTTGCTGCATTTTAAAAAGAAATCCAAAATAAAAATCATAGAATAAAATTATCAGGCAGTGATCCATTGCAATATATATTACAATTTTTGAGAGAAATTTATGCCGGTCTATTTCAAGATACTACTGTGACACTCTTTGACATAACTGACATGTCAAACAATAACAGCAATATTGAAGCAGATAAATGATGTCATTCATATATCATACTCAGCTAATAACTGAGCAAGACTATGGTGCTGTTAATATCAGCTGAAAGACTATAATGTTTACATGAATGCTGCAGCAATTTATATTTATCAATCTACATAATGGTTATATATTATCTATCAGTAATTATATAGTTTCACTGTAACTGATGCATAAGTTCTCAGGAAAACACAAATAAATAATTATTAATAAAATGTACATAAAATATACATTTTATCATGCCTATCCTCCTGTGTGCCATGCCCCCCTCGCTACCTCATTTGGAATCCCTGTGTCATCAGCTGTTTCTCGTTGTGTTTCATTAGTTCTGTGTATTTAAGTCCGCGTTAGAATATGTTTCCCCAGTCCTCATTGATGTCACTGTGTTTTTCCTGAGTGTGTTACCCCTTAATAAATCCGGTGTTTACCCGATTCCATGATTCCCTTTGCCTGCATCCCTGCTCCGTGCCTGCTCCAAACAAGACAGAATGACCGGACTCTGGACAAAGACGCTTCGTCTCACCGAGGAAATTTTACTGGCTTGGTCAGCCCGAAGTCCGGGACAACCCCATAGCTCAAGCCCTCGCTTACTGGACGAGGGATATCCTGGAGGAGAAGTCGCTGTCCGAGGACTCGCACCTCGCTGAAGAGGTGCGAGACAACTTGCGGCAGCAAAGGAGAGGGGTGACAGAGACAATGATGAAGCAAGTAGCCCTGGACTGTGGGTTGCCTTTCCCCCCATCGGATGGGCTACCCAAACCCTCTGCGATTCCAGCCGTGTCATCACACAAAAAAGCGGAGGAATCGCAGAGGGGCGGATCCCTCAGGAAACCTGCCAAAGCCCGACGTGAAACCCGCTTGCGTCTTTGAAGCTCCAAGGGAAACTCACCTCACAGTGCTAGACCCGGCAGTGTTCCTAACTCGTCCCAGAAGCGCACCTCCTGGTGCTCTCCATCTCCTTGCCCCTGTTCCAGTAGCTCATCTCCCCGCCGCCACTTTACATATTCCTGAGTCTCGTCTCCCCGCCGCCGCTTTGTCTGCGCCCGAGGCTCGTCTCCCCGCTGCCGCTTTGCCTGTGCCAGGGGCTCGTCTGTTAACCCCGCCGCTTGGCCTGCGCCAGAGGCTCGTCTCCCCACCATCCCTTTGCCTGTGCCCGAAGGCTTGTCTCCCTGCCACTGCTTTGCCTGCGCCCGAGGCTCGTCTCCCCGCCGGCGCTTTGCCTGCGCCCGAGGCTCGAATTCCTGCCACCACTTTGCATATTCCTGAGGCTCGTCTCCCCGCCGCCGCTTCACCTGCTACAGAGGTGCAACCGCTGGCCCCAGTTCCTGTTTCCCCAGGTCCCTGATCATCGGACCACCGCTCCTCCCCCTTTGGTGGAGATAGAGGAGGAGTTCGAGTGGGACCCCTTAGGAATTTCCCTGACACCAGCCCCTAAAAACCCCTCCGGTGGGTCACAACCCCGTCCCCATCATGGAAGATCCCGGCCAGGGCCCCGTCTCTCGGTGTCCCACAGAGGGAGAGGACACCTGCTCCGGGGTCGGGCCCTGCCCACCCTGCCCCCGGGTTTGCCTTCAGTCCCCCTGGCTCCGGCTCAATGGTCACCTGCGATTCCCCCTCTGGTGACTTGTTGGGCGCCTGCGGTCCTACCTCCAACGCCTCGTTGGTCACCTGGGGTTCCCCCAGCTCCACCTCATGGCCTTTGCCGGCTGTGGCTTCACCGTCGCCTTCTGTGACTTCTACTCCCTCCTCGCCTCCTCCGGTGTCCCCTTCGCCTCCCTCCTCGACTCCTCCAGCAGTCCCTGTGCTTTCCTCCTCGCCCCCTTCAGAGTCCCCTCCACCTCCTACCTTGCAGTCGCCGAGGGTCCCTCCAGCTCCGGTCTCGCGGTCGCCTGTGCCCCCTGCCGCTCCCGCCTTTAGCCCACTGGGGTTCCCTCTGGCTCCCTGGTTCCCCCTGCCCTTTACCTCCTTGCCCGCCAGTTTGGTTCCTCCTGTGGGTAGTTTCCCTGTGTTCCCTCCTCGTCTGTTTGGTTCTCCCTTGCTCCATCTTGGTCCCTTTACGCCTCCTTTTGTCTTAGTGCCCTCTGCTGTTGTTCATCTGTTGTCCCCGTCCTTAATGTCTCTGGGTCTTGTGTTTCCTTGGGTGTCCTTGTTTGTGTCTGCATTTTATCAGTTGCTGTCCGGGTTCTTGTTGTCTTGCTTGTCTCTTGTGCCCTTGCTGTTCCCCTTGGTTCGTTGATGTCTTTGTTCTTTTTTGCGAAACCCTATTCCCATGGGTTTCATGCTTTTTGCTTTTGTTTCCCCAGATGCTGTCGTGTCCCAGGTCTCGTCCCTCCATTCCCTTTAGGCGCGCCTGATGTGCGAACCTCTGGGGGGGTGGGTGGGTATCTGTCATGCCTTGCTCGTGATGATCCTCCTGTGTGCCACACCCCCCTCGCTATCTTGTGTGGAATCTCTGTGTCATCAGTTGTTTCTCGTTCTGTTTCATTAGTTCTGTGTATTTAAGTCAGCGTTAGAGCATATTTCCCCAGTATGTTCTTTGACATTGCTGTGTTTTTCCTGAGTGTGTTACCTCTTAATAAATTCCCTTTACCTGTTTCCCTACTCTGTGCCTGCTCTGAACAAGACACATTTGATCACATACAATATATCATAATACCTAGCACTGTGCAAAATCCTATGCGTCTGTATAATTGCACAGTGGAACTAAGATTGTTTATTTTTACCTATAATTTTATCAAAATTATGCCTTATACAGTAATGCTTGGTCCAATCTAAAATGTATATATTTAGTTTTTTTTTAAATAATAAACGTAATGCCTGACGTAATAATAATAGCAAAATGAAATAACATTTGAACATTGTGAAACTTTTTTTTTCAAATTTTGAACATTTATCTGTTAATTCAGTACACTGATAAATCTAACTAGGGAATCACTATGTGCAACAATGTCCACTTTACAGACGTATGATTGATTTTGTATTTGAAGGTTCCTGGACTTGGATGTACTTCTGAATTTTAAATTACAGCTGGAAGAACTATGGAAGTCAAATGTCACACTTATCTTTCAGTTATAGGGAAAAGAAAAACTTCAGTATAATCACACTTGGGCAATTTCTGTAACTTTCTGTCAAAATGATGGGCAGATGGATGTACACTTTCATGCAGTAATCTTCAGCTCAGATCAAGGCTCATCCCTCTGTCCATACATGGACAAACATGTCTGTAGAAAGAATCGCCTTGTGTCCATAGCAAACTGATCTGATTGAGGAAAAAAACTATGTTGACTACATTTTTAAATATCATTGTCTGTGGTGAAAATCACACGTTGATCAATGTGTCTGTCAGGATTCAGCATGGCATTGGTCCCTGGCCTGAATGTTTAGAGTAGTGTTTTCCAATCAGAGGAAATCTTGGAGTCTGAACGCAGGGTCAGGTCATTTATCTGGCACTCCTGAAGCATGTTTGGGGGTTAAGGACCATTCTCAAGGGCCCAAATGAGATTTTCTGCGAAGGACGGGGCTAACCCCACTGAACCTCATACTGGGTGTTTCTGGGCAAACAAACTGTCTCCTCACAGTTTGCATTATCACACAGACTGAGTTGTCTGATCTCTCTACTAATCAAGATTCAATGTCAGATCAATTTCCAGGAAGAAGAACCGCAGGCTGTTAGTATTAATTTAGCCATGGCATGGCTGAGGACTTCACAGCACCACCCATAGCCTAAACATGCATTAGCGCTGAGGCTAATGCCATTGTTGGTGAAAAATGTAGCATTAACAAGTTTCTTCAGCTTCAGCGCGAAATGTCCGATCATTTAAATTCAGCCCACTCTGTACACCAGTGGTTATCTGCAAAAATACAGGCCCACATGCTGTCTTGCAGGCATGAGTCACTAAATAACAGGCGACAAATGTTTACAGAAACCGAGTGTTGGTTTAACTGTCAAGACCTCATCTCATCTGATTTTCATCTGGAGGAAAAACGCTACTGTATTGTTACAGAGGTGGTTAATCCAGAGAAGTAGATTATTTTGAGATTCAATTTTTGAGATTTAAGTATGAAACAAATAACTTTGAAACAATTCATTATTATACTTTTGTTGTCATTCAAAAACACATCTCAGCTTTTCTTTCAGGAAAAAAAATCACCCTTGTAATATTGCAAAATGCATTATCTTTTTACCTCCTCGGTGATTTCTAGCCACCTGCTGCCACTGGTCAAAGAACACCAAGCATAAACTTTTCACAGCATTATGAAAAAGGCAGTCTGGGTCACTCCTGCTATTGTTTCAGTCTCCATGTCAGAAAATGTGTTCACTATGAAGCGGCAAGCGATCAAGTGAGTGGTGACTCATTCTGCAATATTCAGCGATGCACTGATTTATCCTGTTCCATAGCAACTCGCTTATCTTTTATTTTTTAATCTGGAAAGCTGTCTCTGGATCACTGTGAAGTTTTTCGCAACAGAGGCCATGTGTAGAGGATTATGAAACGGAGGATTTCAGTGGTGCAGAAAATTTATACAGCTGTACAGACACGTGGGGGCTGCGATCATTATTCTACTGAGCTGTGGTCGGCCAATTACAGAAATCTACTGTGGGCTATTTCTGAAGTAATGATCATTGTCAAAGCTTAACTATACCCCAAACAACCCTTAGTCATTACCTGTAGTCAGCTCTTTTGCAACTCTCTCTAATTTGTCCTCAATTTTTAAGAGTCTAGGTGTTAAAGATAGATGATAGATTATTATTGTATATATTTTTTTACATAAACTGTTTAATTGCTTTGGAAAAAAACACCATCTGCTGAAAGGTTGGGTACTAGGTCTAAGGTATGAGACTACAGTTTGTTGAAACAGCTGTCAACTTGCCAATTTGCTTTCTTTCTCTGAGCTCAATGTGCCAATTAGGGGAGACTGGAGAGATAAGAAAAGCATATATACGCTTTTCTACCGCTCACAGGGAGCCTGTTTCTGGAATAATGTTTTTAAAGCCGGCTGAAGATCAAGCTGAGTACCTGAATCAAGGAAAGACAAAGGGCCACATTTTCAGAAGCTTAAATTTATGAGCTGGAAAGATGTTTTGGCTATACCCTAGTATGAATGAGGTAATATGGTCAAATAGGCTCTAATGGGCTTGCAGTGGTAAGAGGTTTCATTATGCCATAACATTGTCAATTCTACATCATCGATGAATGATCCCATTAAGCATTTAATTATATAAAATATGTACAGACCTCAATAATAATTCTCTGGTATAACACTGGTTAAAGACCACCATTGTACAAATCAATACACATATTTTATTCCATGAGCCATAGTCTGCATTACAATACCCTTTCTTACTGCTTCTGAAATAATGTGCTGTTTCTTAAAATTTCACACTGAAATAATGATAATTAGTGGTTTAGTATGAAGTCATGAAGTGCTTCAGTATTAATTCATATACACATATTTACACACATATTTAGGCAGTAGGTCATACAGACACAAATATACATCTTTAACAATGTACAATACAATATTTGGCTATGCCACTTTTTTTTAGGTAATGAATCACAAAGACATGTGTAAGACAATATTTCTACAACTATGGAGAGAAACATAACTGAAGAATAATACAAGGCCCGTGCCATCGTCTGGTATGAATCATACCTACGGCGGTTATTATACAAGAGGCTGCCGGGCTGACATTATTGTCAGAACTGTTAGTACATACATTTTACACGTACATTATTTTAATTTAGGAACGCTATACATGTAGAATGTATAAACAATGAAAAGTGAGCAAACCTTCGGATTAAGTAAATGACCAGTTTATTTATTTATTATTTATTGATCATCATGTCTCTGTGCTTGAGAACCTATAT